TTAAATATGTTTGTGAATCTTCTGTTTGGGTTTATCGGATATAGAATGTATGCAATGAAATTAATTATTTAATTATCATTTACTTGTGGAGCTTTGATGATAATTCCTTGCAAACGATGAATGTTTAATTTATTTTATTAATACTTTTCTTTTTTTTTTTTTTATATATTAGTAATAGCATACAGGTATTTGACTTATGTTATAGATTACTAATTATTATTATTATTAACAGTTTTTTTAAAGAACATTTTGTTTTCTTTAATACACTTTAATAATCTGAAGATCCATTTTCCACTATAAATAACCTTTTATAGAAAGGTTCCATGGATGTTAAAGGTTCTACGTGGAACCATAGGCACCAATAAAGAACCTTTATTTTTTTTAAATAAAGCTTTACATACAGATATCTGAATGCTAATGAGATCATGCTGGGCTCAGACAACTCTTTGAAATATTCCACCAGCCCAAATGTTAAATAGTGTGTTGAATGCAAATGTAGATGTTACTGACTGTCAGTTTTTACTGTACTCATGTGAATCTGTCCGTACTTCCACTAACACAGGGGTTTTATTTTCCCAGGAACTTTGCCACTGCACTATAAACCACAGGCTGCGTCTGCCAGTGTGAAGCGAACACCATGTTCTATGTACAAGAAACGAGGTCTGTGCCATGCATCGCTCAAGAACATTCCATTTATTCCAACGAAGTTCACACTACCCTCTGCCAAATGGCCAGCCAGCCTCTTCACAGGTCCTCCAAAACCTTCTCCACAACACCTGTGATGAGAGATGTGTCTATAGCTCCAAACAGAGGCGAGTTTTAGAGCCTGCTTCCAACTTAATCACAAACCAGCTTTACAAGTCAAAGTCTGTTGCTTTGAATACTATTAATGTTCAGAGACATTTGGTTCTTTTGCTAACTAGTTTATTTGCACAATGCAAACTTCAGCTTAGGATAGTTTAAGGAGAAAAATGAGAAGTCCTAAAGAAATTTCTTCAGATGTGTGGCCTAGGATTTTTCCACATTTTCCAGCTTGAATTTTAAAGAGGTTTTAATGTAGTTTGAGTGGCTATGCTTTGATATGCGTTCCTTGAATCCGCTTGAGAGAAACCCTCACCGCAGGGGCTACCAAGGGGGAAGAGTGCAAAGAAACATAAGCGCACAGGCCCTCCAGATGTGTAATTACTTAATTTCCTCGCATATAAAACAATGCTATAATTAAAAGGAAGTATACAATTTACCACAAGTAAAGTGGCCCAAATAATTTATGAATAAAACCAGTTCAGTGCGTATGACTATTAGTGCAATACCAAAAACAAAATAATATTTAAAAGATGTTGTATCACAACTTTATTTGGTGATGTTACAGTGTTTGTTCCACACTTTGAATGTGGTGTAATTGTTCATATGGTTTTGGGCCCTGCATTAGTTGTCAATACATTGTAAAGCTTAATAAATGTACAACCGTTCAAATTTGAACAAAGTTAATAGATTTATTTAGAAAGGATGCATTGAATTTATCAAAAGACTTTTATATTGTTACCATTATGTTACTTTCTATTTCACAAAAAAGAGTCCAGTTTCCACCAAAAAAATTTAAATAACACAAATGTTTTCAACATTGATAAAAATTGGCTGTAGAAAAACAAATAAAAATTCAGCTGTGCCATCACATGATGAATACATTACATATTAAAATAGATAACTTAATTTAAATTTTAATAATATATTTAACAATATGACTGTTTTTACTGTACAGTATCTTTGGTCAAATAAATGCAGCCTTGGGGAGCATGAGAAACTTCTTTCAAAAACATCTGAAAAATCTTACCAACCTAAAACCTTTGAACGGTAGACTAAGGTAAAATGTGACTGGAAAGTTTACCGTATTACACACACACACTCTTTAAAGTGTCTCCTCTTCCACAACTGGGAATTATGGAATACAGTATCTACAGCATAAGTCAGGTATTGGAGACCAATGGTAAAGGCCTCATGATTTTATGACAGATGACGATCCAATTCTGAGGTGTAGCACAACTAGCCATTTAATCAATAACACACACACCCCATGGACACAACAGGTTTCTGGAAGAGTCATTTTAGAAGCCTTGATTGTAACAGATTTTCATTTAAGCAAAGACCTCCCATTACATCAAGCCTTTTAAATGATCTCTTTTTGGACTAGCAGAACAGATTTCCATAACAAAAGCATTGGGGTTTAAGTGGCATTGTCTCAGCACAAGACAGAAAAACGTTTTGTTTTAGCTGACAGTGAGCCGATGAACTGTCAATAAAAGGGGTTCTTTGGTAGCCCAAAGAAAAAGCCTGCTTTTCATAATATTATATAATCTACTCAGTGTTTTACCTCTCACAGATGTTCTGGCTGCGTGTCTGATTTCACTGTTGCGATGTTGACTGCAGATGGGTGAGTGATGTTTTGACAAGCAACCACAACACTGATATTTGTAGTAGCACAGATGCAGTCTGGCATCATTACAATTACTTTTTCATTTAGTTCTTTGACAAACTGCTGAAAACAGTATAGAAAATGCACAGCACATCTTGATTTTTCAAGATTTTTCTTCAGACATTTTGCGCCACCAATACGACCAACTGGACACGACACGAGCAACTTAATTGACAAAACACACACACACGTCTCACATTCCCACAGAGAAGCAAAGTTGTGTGATTCCTTCACAGTCTCCGTATCAGCCATTACGACACACAAAGGACCTTCATCCCTGCAGATGGAAGTCTCTGTGTTTAAACATTCACAGCCTAGCCTGAAAAGAGTCACATAATTCCAGCAAATTGGACACAGTGATTAGTGCAAGGAGAGAAAAAAAAAACAGAGCCCATTCATAACTTCAGTGGTCGGGAGAACGCAATTATTCCCAGAGGGTTTGACAAATGGTGAGAATTTATGCCGCAAAAGTAATTTTATGTTTGTTTTCTTTATTTTTAAGACATTTGCACAAATCCATCAAACTGTCACGCCTTGTGCATATATTCAGGAAATGTCTTTCAGCTCGTTTGAGAAAAGAGAGTGAGAGAAAAACATTGGCCGCTTAGTTTATTTCTTTATTTTTTTCCTGTCTTGTAGAAAGTTGACACCCGTCCACAGTTGTGTTTTAGCTCAAGTAAATCACGCTTCTTAACATTTTCTGCTAGCTTAGTTATTCCACTCACTTTATGTTCATTTTACCTGATGGGCCGCATTTTTAAACACATTTGCTGCAGTGTTTAAAAAAAGTAAACAGTACATGCAGACATACTGTAAATGGATGATTAATCTGGCACATGCTGTTATTCAAGCAAATTATTTTGATGTTGCAGTTATTGTTTTCTTGTGCCATTTTAAATTAAGGGCCCTTCCTTTCTAAAATATGGGGCGTTTATGACTATCAGGCCTGTTTTTCTAGCCTTGTGTCGCATTCCCAAGAATCCTGGCAACTCTTTTGGATGGATGGGATCCTCATGGATATAACGAAGCACAAAGAATGAATAGAATGGTGTGAAAGAGTGATGCTGAAAAGAGAGACTGCACATTGATAAAGGGAGTAAGTGTTTTTAAAGGATTTCTGTATTTATTTTTTTCTTTTTATCTATATTTTCGGGAAAAGAAAGTCCGGAAATCTATCAGCGGAGAAGAGAGGGGCGGGAAAGATAGCATTAGGACAAGTTTGCCTTTGCACTTTTGCATGACCCGGTATGTTAACTAAATCTGGTGGTGAAATATACCTGCGGAGACAGACAGGTAACCTTTGTTTCATTATGGCCATAATCCCTCTTAATAACAGAGCTGTGATGTCTGATATGCCCCATTACTCTGAGCAGCAAAAGACAAGCTGCTGTTAAACTCTAACAGCAGCCTGAAGATATGTGAATGAACCACACACACACACACAATCACCCACCATATAGATGCAGAAAATATACATGTAAAAGCACAACAAAAATACGCTAAAAATGTTTTTTCTTATATTCTTTAGTGTGTGTGTGTGTGTGTGTGTCAAAAAAAATACCACAAAATACACTTTCATTCAGTGTCTCTCACTTCCATACACTCAGTTTAATAGATTTTAGCATTAAATCTTCATTCCTTAGGTAAAAATTTAATAAAATCTTAAAACAATTATAAAAAGTAGTAAAAACAAGTTTGATGGCAATATTATATCTTTCTTCTAAAGGATTTTTTCTTAATCTTCTAGTTAGTGAAAAATAGCTTATTGCACTTTTTTTTATTTCTTTATTATATTTAATGAAAAATATTGACCTTAAACAGCTATGTGCATTATGTAATATTGTGAGGATACTTTTTAGCTTGTGTTCTCCCTTTAATTTTCTGCAATTCAAAATACCAAAAAGTTCAAGAGATACTTTACAAATGCATTTGATTTTAAAATGAGCAGATGAGATCTGGGCTGTTTTTACACTTTTAATCTCATCTACCAATTACTTAGGAAAAAGCTACAGCAATTAGTGTGAAGCATTTCAGTTATTAATGTCAATACTGCCAATACAGTATTATTCAATCAAAAGGGATGGTTTTATTTGCATTTTTTATTTGCATGTTTTTTTTTTAATATAATTTACATTTGTTTGAATGAACAAAACTGTGAACTCCACAAGTTTTTTTCTTTTTATTATTAATCTTATCAAATATATATTATTCTAATTCTATATTTACAGAGTAGGCTAGCATTTAGATTTGGCTTGTGTGTACTGTTCGTTTTTATTTTATTTTTTTAATCACTTGTTGACCTTCCATATAGCAAAATGAAATAATAATATTATTTTATACAATAATACATTATTACATTACTTCAGATGTAAAAGATAATAGATTAGGCCTATGGTAATGTTAATATTTCTTCTCCAAGGTCACCAGAGAAAGTATTTATTTATTTATTAGATATCTAATAACAATAACGCATGTCTTTTCAAGCAGTTGTGTAAACTAGGCACATCATCATAATGGAAATGAAACTTACCTGTACCAGTCCATTCCGTTGTCATAGTTACGGTCGAAGAAGTGCGGCTCCGCTCCGACCGCGCGAATATCTGGATGCACTCGCAGAAACTCCAGCAGCGCGCGCGTCCCGCCTTTCTTCACGCCGATGATGATCGCCTGAGGCAGCTTCTTACTGCCCTCACCTAATGCACTTAGTTTACCTGTATCAAAATACGATTCTCCCGTCTCCACATCTACATCCAAAGAGTTTGACATCTTTAGGTGCGCCTGGAAAACGTGTCTGTCAGCATCAATAACAGGTAAACCCTCTTCACGGACACTTTCGAGCCGGTGGATCAAGCTGTGGTGCCTCATCACGGTCCATTTCTGAAGAAGTCTCTTTCTCCTCAGCGACTCAAAATCTTTAAGTTTCGAGGCGTAAAATCCCTCCACCGGACCCGCTTCTGTTCTCTGATCTGGGCTGTTTTTACACTTTTAATCTCATCTACCAATTACTTAGGAAAAAGCTACAGCAATTAGTGTGAAGCATTTCAGTTATTAATGTCAATACTGCCAATACAGTATTATTCAATCAAAAGGGATGGTTTTATTTGCATTTTTTATTTGCATGTTTTTTTTTTAATATAATTTACATTTGTTTGAATGAACAAAACTGTGAACTCCACAAGTTTTTTTCTTTTTATTATTAATCTTATCAAATATATATTATTCTAATTCTATATTTACAGAGTAGGCTAGCATTTAGATTTGGCTTGTGTGTACTGTTCGTTTTTATTTTATTTTTTTAATCACTTGTTGACCTTCCATATAGCAAAATGAAATAATAATATTATTTTATACAATAATACATTATTACATTACTTCAGATGTAAAAGATAATAGATTAGGCCTATGGTAATGTTAATATTTCTTCTCCAAGGTCACCAGAGAAAGTATTTATTTATTTATTAGATATCTAATAACAATAACGCATGTCTTTTCAAGCAGTTGTGTAAACTAGGCACATCATCATAATGGAAATGAAACTTACCTGTACCAGTCCATTCCGTTGTCATAGTTACGGTCGAAGAAGTGCGGCTCCGCTCCGACCGCGCGAATATCTGGATGCACTCGCAGAAACTCCAGCAGCGCGCGCGTCCCGCCTTTCTTCACGCCGATGATGATCGCCTGAGGCAGCTTCTTACTGCCCTCACCTAATGCACTTAGTTTACCTGTATCAAAATACGATTCTCCCGTCTCCACATCTACATCCAAAGAGTTTGACATCTTTAGGTGCGCCTGGAAAACGTGTCTGTCAGCATCAATAACAGGTAAACCCTCTTCACGGACACTTTCGAGCCGGTGGATCAAGCTGTGGTGCCTCATCACGGTCCATTTCTGAAGAAGTCTCTTTCTCCTCAGCGACTCAAAATCTTTAAGTTTCGAGGCGTAAAATCCCTCCACCGGACCCGCTTCTGTTCTCTCTGTGGGTATACAGGTCCCGCATCGCTCCGTGAGGCAGTGGAGAAAGTATAAAGACGCGAGTATAGACAGCAACATGACCGCGAAGGTCTTAAAGATGCTCTTGGACGGAGGGTCCGGAAAGACGCGGCTAAATGCCATCTCGGTCCACGGGTGGCATGAGTTGGAGAGACAGCCATGCTAGACTGGCATTATTCAGTCTTGCCATCAAAAAATAAGGCAGAGTTTGGAGCTTGAGAGCATCAAAGGTGGATTAGAGTTCGCACGCGCCGCTCTCCAAAAATCCTTGCGCATATGTAAAGCTCCTTGTCGTTATGTAAACAGTTACTAGTCTGAGAATTAGCTTAGTGCGAATTTTAAATTACTATGTTAGAGGAGTTCATTTGAATTATTTCTGTAAAATTTGTAAAAGTTTGTTTTCACTCCAAATTTATAGCGAAAAAATATCTTAAGTCCAAAATTTAAAAAAGCATAATTTCATTTTTTTTTTTAATTCAGCGTTTGCTTCAAATGATTTGTGAAATTCTGATAAACTTTCATAGCACTAGTAGCTCACACGTGTGTGCCTTGCATCTAACTTCAGAATGACGTCACCTGAAGTGACTGACATGTCGCGGTCCAATCAGGTTCCACAAACCTTTCCCGAGCGCATGTAATTTGCATGCCAGTAACCAATAGGATGCAGGATGGGCAGGGCAGACACCGCCCACCTGTCAGTTCGGCTGAGGAACGGTCACGCTCGTGTTCAAAGCAAATGTCACATTCAGCACCCGTGGCCACAGCCGAACAAATGCAGGTTTGTAGTTTACGCAAGGTGGTTGTAGAGAAATCAAGACATGGTTTGTAGATTCATAATAATCGCCATGTTCACCAAATAAATTAAAAAGTAACTACACTGCTAAGACTCAAATGCCTCGCCAATCAATGTTATAATATTGTTGTTAAGAATGTAAACTTTATTTTACAGTAAATCCCTTACTTAAGTCAGGCCAAAATGCTTTTGTTTGGAAATATTATATAGAATTGTAAGCTAATGCTGAACATGTGATAAGCCATTGCATAGAGGAAAAAATGTAGTATGAAACTGATACGTTGTTTGATCGCTTGTGCAAGTGTGTGTTTACACAGTCATGGTAATGGTTTAATAAGATTATTTCAGACATGCATTACTGCATGACTAAATCAATAAACATTATCTCCAAATCTACAGGGTGTGTGCACTTCATCATTTGTGCGGATGGATAAGAGAGAGAGAAAAACATTGGTGTTCATTCCATCACAGTTTTCACCACTATTTACAGTATCTTTTATGTCCTTACAGATACATCACTGACAGAACATTTGGCTCTTCTTTTGCTTTTCCCTTAATCTGTCATTCTTCCAACTCCGATTACACTCGGCCCTCAGCGCACTTCAGGCCACCAAGGATGACCGTCATTTCCCCCCCACCCCGTTGTTACCGTATTCTCTTTCGTTTTAAATAAGGAGAAGAACACAGCATGGTGAAATAAAAGTAAAAGCAGCGCATTATTTCTTTACAAGTGAACAAGAACAGAACCAAATGTTTCACATCTGCTCCTGTAGTTTGCAGCATTACCATAAGAAAGCCAAAGGAGTGTTTCAATGCAGTACAGCCCACTGCTTCAGAATAGAGATGCAGACCTCAGTCAAAACACCGGCTTGCTTGTGCCAGATGTCCCCGTGATGAGGACACAATGCAAGGGCTGACTTGCATTTAACAAATCACACCCTGGCCTTTTCGGCCATCCCGGGAGAAAGGAGAGGCAACAACCATAGCCGGGCCATCCCCTGAGATGCCCCCTGGGTCAAATGTTTTTGCACCTCCATTATCAGTTTCATGATAAAGGAATGTGCGGAAACGCTGTTTCTGAGTGGACAGGCCAGTCCACTGAAATTTAAAACACAGGCTAAGAGAACTTCATTGCACAATATCGTGCCAGTGTTTATGTATTTTTGGGTTTGTCCTTGCAGTTTTGTTAGTGCAACTTTTGTAGAAGTATGTGGTTTTTTTGTACTCTTGAGTAACACAGAAGAGGAAATCTAAGAGCGTAATTATACAGTGCATTTGGTTTGAATCAAAAATGTAAGAGCATATGTACAAATAATAGATAACTCTCTTTTATCTCTGTTATATTTACTCTGGATACTTAGAGTGTATTGAAATATAAAACAGGCTCAAGTATTTGCAACAAATAATTGCAAGTATCTGCTGTCATTTGTTTAGAGAGTTCAGATATATCCATTTTGAAATCAAAATACAGTTTTTAATGAGATGAACAGCTGTTATCATTCCTTTCCTTATTTTTGTTAATAGGATCTCAATGTTTTTATGGTCAGCAAGCGTAACCTCAAGTAGACGAGAAGACTTCTTATGCATCAGAAATGTGAATCCTGAGCCCCCATGGTTTGCTGCAGTGAAAAGCTTGCTGTAGTTTTCTCTGGACAGCTTTATGTGTGGATTTGGAACATCTCAGCATGAGAGAGACATCTTTACGGCCAGTGCTATCAGAAAAATACAGGGCAGGTAATGCAGTTCAGTCATAGAAACAGAATGGCATGTGAGGTAAAACTCTTGATTTCATGATGTCCAGATAGATAGTTGGACATATAGATAGATTATTGTGCTTTATATGATATATTTGAATACAACTTTTACTTTTCCTGTAATACAGGATTGGCTGGGAGGATTTATACATCCAAAGTCTAAGCAAATGGTTAGGAAATGTATTTAGATACATACACACATCTGTGGTTCAGCCGTGCAAGCAAAGTGTTTTTCCGGTACTGAAGAGGAAGGATTTTCATTCACAACCGCGGAAATGCAAATAAATCATGCTCTTAGTCAAATTAAGAGTCAGATTTAAAATGCTGCTTAAATGTTTAGATCAAGATTGATTGCAAAGAACCTCCCGAGGCTTATTTACATCAAATTTTATACCTTTATGAGTGCCAACAATAGAAACTCAATGTAAAATAGATTTAGAGAAAAAGTGTGACAGTGTTCATTAATCAGATTTTGAATTCCTAATTGTGCAAATGTGATTAACTGTGTGTGTGATTTAGTGTGTGTTTGCGTGTGTCACACATTCCTACCTCTAAGAGGCAGCAAGACTCAACCCAACTTGGAGAAGGTTTGATAGGCAATATTGAGTGAGAGAGACAAGAGATGCATGGGGGTCATCCATAGAGAATGACTATTGCATGTATAACACAAATGTAGTTTAAAAATTATGACAAGATACTTAAACTCTTCAAATGGACTTATGGAAACGTGATACATGACTTCCACAAATCCAGTCCACAAAATAGAGATTCCAGCCGATAGAAATGATATTGAAACTTGTTAAATTTCCTGTGTATATCACTCTAATACAATGCTCTGGTCAGACTGTCTCTTTCTCTCTCTCTCTCTCTCTCTCTCTCTCTCTCTCTCTTTCACATTGATCACACTAATGGGCCTGGCTTTGGAGATGAGTCTCGCAACCTCCCCGTGTGACTCATCTCAGCTCTCCTCTACCAGAGGCCCTTTGAGAAGATGACTCAGTCATTAGATGGATTGCTTTCTTACATAAACAAATGTCAGCCGTGTGCCCGACCTCCCTGTTATACTCTGCTGTGGGACTAGAAGCATATGTGATATGAGAAGTGTAGAAACCTAAACAAACTTGCAGCTCATTAAAGGCCAAAGAGTAACCGTTCATTAAAAAGCAATATCTCTCTCTCTCTCTCTCTCTCTCTCTCTCTCTTTCACATTGATCACACTAATGGGCCTGGCTTTGGAGATGAGTCTCGCAACCTCCCCGTGTGACTCATCTCAGCTCTCCTCTACCAGAGGCCCTTTGAGAAGATGACTCAGTCATTAGATGGATTGC